CCTGGTACAAGTGAAAGAATTACTTGAAGTTTGTATGGCAACCATTATTTCAGTTTATACAGATGATTCAAGATTGAGTAAAGGTATAGTTAAGACATCTGGTTAGCTGTAACATTCAAGAAATTTCTCAGCTTCTGCTGAGATTAGTAAATGACAGACATGTCAGTGCCTTGCGATTATTTAAAGCCTGATGTATTAATATATAATCTTTATTGTGGTCCGCTTTAATCTGGCATACCAGTGATCTATAATATATTAGAGTCATGTCACAGAAAAATTTCTTTTTATACTTGGAAAAATTCTTATGTTTGGTAGTTAACTTCTAGACAACCTGTGCGTTAACTTTAACAGATTTTTTTAAAGCAAAATATATCCCAGTGGAAAAATTTTCTCTTCTTCTAAAAGGTGATTGTCTTTATTTCTAGGAAATTTTAGAAGTATAATGAAACACAGAGCTTTTAAATAAATATTTCCCCATTTCAGTTGTGTCATAGAGTTTACACAGTTGTACCCTGAGAACTGTGTTTTCTTAACAGTTTATTGCCAGTTTAAATGGATATTTAGCTAATAATTTTCAGTAGCTAAAATATTAGATTTCAGAGATTTATTTCTGTTCAGTAAGTATGAAAAACATAAGTTCAATTTGGAGATCAACTACAATAGATGTGGTAAAATTAGAAGAACATAATGCATGTGCAGAGCATTTTTTTTAACTAAGTGAATTTGGTTTCCATAAGTTCTTACATTAAAAATGTTAAGAAGTAAGGATCTTTAGTTTTTAAGTACATTTTTGTATGAATGGGAACATGTTTTTTTCATAAGCCGATACATTGATTTATGGGAATTGAGTATGTATGGAGCATTATTTAAATTTTTGTGAACATTTTTTATTATCAATCTAGAAATGCCTAAAACAACCTAGAATTGAGGAGCTTAGCTTATGTGGATAACAATGATAGAAGCCATTGGATTAGGGAGGTAACTTTGCCATGGAATTGAGATACTAAATTACCTGTGCAGGATTGATGAATTTAGGATCAAAAGTGGAGGCATGACACATTTCAAAACAAAACCTTGAATGCTTCAGAACATCACTACTACAGAGGTCTACCAAGATACGAAATAGCATCTGGTAAATTTTTTTTCTCAGTATTATTTCAGAAATCATCTTTTAATTATATCTCAATCTACTATGCTTGCTATAGTCTTACAAGATGCTTTATAAGCCAGATTTATTTCCTAAGTGAATTCACTCTCTTGATATCAACAGTAAACAATGACCTTTCCTAGGTTGAAGTTTATTTCAAGTCAGGAATAGGTTGGTATCATTGCCAAATATTTCTTAAAATGCTCATTCAGCTATGAGGATTTTGAAAGCCTGCAAAAGTGTTATATATATAAAATTTTGATCATTATTGAGATTTATAGGTTTTGGTTTTGATACATAGCCTAACAGTAGCAAATTATGGCAGAACATAAATTTAAGTGATTTTAGCCTAAGAACAGCATTACTAATTCTTAGCCTAAGGAACATTAGAATTGTGTGTGTGGGTGTGTGTATGTATATATACACATATATA